TCAAAAAAGACAATCTGGGGGACAAAAAACGCTGTGTTTTTAATTGTAAATTGGTTTTCAATTGTGAACCAAAAAAATCTGGAAGCAAGGAAAACCTGTGTTTTCACAGTGTTTGGGCATTTACAAATTGATTCCTATTGTGCGGCCTTCAAATGGAATCCCTTTGCGCCTGGCCCGAGGGCCTCACAATGGGATTCTATTTGATGGCCGCACAATGGAAATCAATTTGGAAATGACCAAACACTGTGAAAACACAGATTTTCCTTGCTTCCAGATTGTTTTTTGTTGTTTTTTGGTTTATAATTAAAAACCAATTTACAATTAAAAACACAGCGTTTTTCGTCCCCCAGATTTCTTTTTTGTTTTTTTTGTCTTTTTTGTCTTTTTCGTCGGCCAGGCCCCGAATCAATTTGCGCCTGGCTCGGGAGGGGAGGGAGGGGACTGGCCGACGAAAAAAACAAAAAAGACAAAAAAGACAAAAAAGACAATCTGGTGGACAAAAAACGCTGTGTTTTTAATTGTAAATTGGTTTTTACTTGTAAACCAAAAAACACAAAAAAGACAATCTGGAAGCAAGGAAAACATGTGTTTTCACAATGTTTGGTCATTTCCAAATTGATTTCCATTGTGCGGCCATCAAATAGAATCCCATTGCGAGGCCCTCGGGCCAGGCGCAAAGGGATTCCAATTGAAGGCCGCACAATAGGAATCAATTTTTAAATGCCCATACACTGTGAAAACAAAGGTTTTCCTTGCTTCCAGATTGTCTTTTTTTGTGTTTTTTGGTTTACAAGTAAAAACCAATTTACAATTAAAAACACAGCGTTTTTTGTCCACCAGATTGTCTTTTTTGTCTTTTTTGTCTTTTTTGTCTTTTTCGTCGGCCAGGCCCCGAATCAATTTGCGCCTGGCTCGGGAGGGGAGGGAGGGGACTGGCCGACGAAAAAAACAAAAAATACAAAAAAGACAAAAAAGACAATCTGGTGGACGAAAAACGCTGTGTTTTTAATTGTAAATTGGTTTTTAATGTAAACCAAAAAAACACAAAAAAGACAATCTGGAAGCAAGGAAAACCTGTGTTTTCACAATGTTTGGGCATTTACAAATTGATTCCTATTGTGCGGCCTTCAAATGGAATCCCTTTGCGCCTGGCCCGAGGGCGTGGAACAAGGCGGCGTGCTGGCCGCCGTGAGAGCGCTCCATTAGCTTTATGTCTGGGAGCATGTCCTTAGCGCAGGCGTAGTGCCCCTTCCGGTACTTCAAGTACAATGCCCACTGCGCCCACGAGAAGTCGTCGACGCACTGCACCTCGCCGCCGCGAAGCTGATGCCACTCCGAGAAACTGTCGGCTTCGACGCTGGCGGGGAAATGGGCCGCCCACCAGCGCAGGAATTTGCAGCAGAAGTGGAAGAAATGAATCCGGCGGCGTCGATTGCCGACGTCAATGAAGCCCACGGAGATGTCGGGATTGAGCTGAAGGTCCGGCGGAGCTGCGGGAACCACGTGCTTCCTCTCTACGGCGCCGCCGCCCTCGAGCGGGATCATGCAGTGCGAGTCCTGGACGAGCGTAGGAGGGCCGGTGGCGATCAGGATGGCATCTTTGGCGGCGGCGCCAGTGATGGCCCATTCATCGCAACTCGCATAAACGATAACATCGCGAACCACCTTGTACAGCAAGTGGTCGTGAAGTACTTCGGGCTTCCTCAGCATTCTAGGTTGCCAAGCGCGACGCTGCGGAGAGTTCATAAGCTCCACCACGTGGTCGTCGTAGGCGCAGGTGGGCACGATCAGCTGCTCGCCCCAACCTTTCTCAAGATAGGTCGGCTCGCTCTTCTCGGCATTCGTGACGGCCGCCAGGATCTGAGCGACGTGCGTGGACAGGGCTGTTATTATTTCAGGACAACTGAGTCAGAGATAGCGGGAAGGCTCTGGCAGGTCGAACCGAAACAGCTATGGAAGAATGTAGGTGCACGACGAACTGCACGGCCACTTCTCACTGTAACTCTCTGACCGAGTCCCCCCCTGGGTCGCCCCCCGAGCCCTCTCGCGAGCAGTCCGAGGGAGCCTAAACGTCAACGGCGGGAGAAGGTATAACAGACCTCTGAAGGGGCTCTGGATTGGCTTTGCAGAGGGTAGAAAACCCCAAACAGCCAAAACATCCAAGTGACACCATAAGGTTTCTGTGGTTCCCATTCCAGAAATCCGCGCAGGGGTACGTTGTCATTGGGTCGGCCCGCTTGCCCTTCCGTCGGTTTGTTTCCTGAACGCCCAAACTAAGGGGGATCTTATCCAAGATCCCCCGACAGAAGGGTATTGCTCAAGATACCGCCACCTGGTGGTCGATGTTCGAACGTCATTCCCTGGGGCGTATAACAGACCTCTGAGGGGCCCCTGGATTGATTTTGCTAAGACAGAAAATCCAAAATAGCGAAAACACCCAAATGAAATCATAAGGTTTCTGTGATTCCCATCCCAGAAATCCGCGCAGGGGTACATTGTCATTGGGTTTGTCCGCTTGCCCCTCTGTCGATTTTTTCTGAACCCCAAAGTAAGGGGGATCTTATCCAAGATCCCCCGACAGAAGGATCTTGCCAAGATACCGCCACCTGGTGGTCGAAGTTCGAACGTCATTCTCTGGAGCGGGGGGGGGGGGGGGCGGCGAGCCTGCCGTGCGGCAGCGCGTGGGTGTGTCGTTAGCAGCCCCGTGCAGGGGTGCGTTGTCATTGGGTTGGTCCGCTTGCCCCTCTGTCGATTTGTTGTTCTGAACGCCCAGACTAAGGGGGATGTTATCCAAGACCCTCCTACAGAAGGATCTTGTTCAAGATACCGCCACCTGATGACTTGGGGTCTGTCTCAGCCGTGCACTCAAGCACAAACGGCAGAACCCTGCGACTGGGCCCAAACAGCCGCGGCTTAGGGACGTCGAAAAGCACGTCGTTAATAGGTTGCTGCGTTTCCCCCTCCGTCGAGTTGTTTTTTCGGAACCTCCAAAGCAAGGGGGATCTTATCCAAGATCCCCCGACAGCAAGATCTTGTTCAAGATGCCGCCACCTTGCAGTCGAAGTCCGAACGCCATTCCCTGGGGCCCGGGGGGCGGCGAGCACGCCATGCGGCAGCATGTGTTTTTTTTCGTTCGCCGCCCCGTGCAAAGGTCGTGCAGGCGCCTCACTGACTGCCCATGCAGCCGCCCCTAAGGGACCGGTTGCGCCTCGAACCCCACTTCGCGGGGTGCAGAGTGAGCCAAGCAAAGCGCTTCTTCTCCCGGGGCGTTGCCCAGTAGTTGAAGCGAGCCTGCGTTGAGCGGAGGTCGGCGAGGGCGGCTTTGGCCTTGCCGAGCTCTTCCTGCAGTTCCTCGTTGCTCTGTTTTAGCTTCTCGTTGTCCCGCGCCAGCTGCCGCAGCTTCTTGAGTTCGTTCTGCCTGCCCCTGCTTCTCGGAGGTCGCTGCGTTGAGCTGCCTCGTGAGCTTCCTGTTCTTCTCCCAGAGAGCGTCGTGCTGAGTTGGAACGAAGGGCAGCAGTGGCAAGTGCATCGCACAGACGCTTGTGTGCAGCAACCTTGAACTCCGCTACTGCCTCCTTCAAGGCTTTCGCCACCCACGGTTTGCCCAAGAAGTTTTTCACAGCCCTGACGCGTGCCCTGCCCATGTTGGCGATGCGCTTCCTCTCGAGCGCCGCCTTCGTCGAGGCTGGCATGGTAGCAAAAATGAACAACTGGAACCAAAGGGCTACGGAAACGAGAGGATGCGAGAGCGAGCGCTAGCACAAGACGGCACCAGAGGATTCGGACTTCCGTCAGCTCAATGCGGCCCTAGAAGCCTCCAACATGGCCCCAAGATGGCCCAAGAGGGCCCAAGACGGCACCAGAGGCGCCCAAGACTGTGCAAGACTGTCCAGGACGCCCCAAGAGGCCCCCAAGAGGCCTCCAAGGCGACCCAAGAAGCCTCGAAGTGGAAGGCCCACTGTGTCCCCAAGGCCCATGGGGCCTCCAAGATGGCCCCAAGACGGCCCGATATGCCCCAATAGAGCCCCAAGAGCCCTCCAAGACGGCCCCAACAAGACTGCCCAACAGATTTCCAAAACGACCCTGAAACGCCCCCAGAGCACCCCAAGTCTGCCCAGAGACACCCCCATGTCGGCTTTCGACGGCGTCAGACAGGCCAAGAAAACCCTTAGACGACCAAAGAAGCCGCCAAGGCGCCTCCAAAGGCCACTAAGAGGCCCAAGGGGGCCCCCAAGAGGCCTCCAAGAGCCAAGAGGCCCCCAGGAAGCTGCAAGAGGCGGAGCTTGCCGCAGGCAGCAAATAATTAACAGGCGGCCCGAACGAGAAATAGCATAGCTGAAATGAGAAAGGAAAGCATCTGGGACAGCAATCACGGGAAAGAGCGAGAGATAGAGAGAGGAAGATGAAGGGATATACATATAGAGAGAGAGAGAGAAAGAGAGATACATACACAACAGGAAGAAAGGTAGATCACAGGAGGGGCTCTTAGCATATCTATATATATATATATATATATATATATATGTATAGGGGGGGGGGGGGCAAGGGCCGATCATGTGAGAGAGCGGTTTGGGAGCAAGCGTTCACTGCCGAGCACGCCAGCTTAAACGGTTTCGCCATCGTCAATAACCTGATCGATCTGACTAAAGCATACGAAAAGGTACGACATAGGACGTTGGTCTCTAAGGCGCGCCAGGTCGGGTTCCCCTTGTTCCACCTGCGGCTGTGTCTGGCGATCTACCGCTGCCCTAGGATGTTGTTGATTGGTTTATGGGTCTCGAGACCCACCGTTGCCTACTCGACTATCCTGACAGGTTGTGGGTCTGCGACTACACTCTTGAGGGTCATGATCATCTTAGAGTTAGATGAAATGTCTCGTCTATGTCGGTTATACAACTTCGTCGACGATATCACAGTCCAGGCTGTTGCTACCCACACTCTTGCCAAGTCGACGGCCGTCAAGGCCACCCAGACGCTCTGCAAGAATTTAGAGGCCGCAGATCTTGTCTTCTCACGCAAGAAGGGCCAGACGGTGGCCAGCACCGCGGCTCTTGCTAAAGAAGTTTGTGCTGGCCTTAAGCAGTGGGGCTTCAGGTCCTCTCATGCTGTCAGGAATCTGGGAATCGATTTCTCGATCGGAGGTGCTCGATCCGCTCGCATTCAGAAGTCCAGGATCGTCAAGATTCGGAGTCGTGCAGGTCGGTTCAGAGGATTGAAGTCCCAGTTCAAGAAACTCACCACCATCTCGAGAGCTGGAGCCCTTCCTGCAGGCAGCTATGGTATCAGTGTGACGGGCATAGCGCCCCGACGGCTCCAGAATTTACGCTGCGCGGTGGCGGAAGGTATTCTTGGGCCGGCTCGCGGGCGCTCACGAACTGTCCAATTTATGTTGTCTGGAAAGCCCAAAGCTGACCCGATGTATGCGGCGAATACTCAACCTTTTGGGGCAAAGCTTTGTGGGGAGGATGGGCCCCTGTCCAGCAGATGGCTGATGTCTTCCAGAGGTACTTGGAGAAAGATAACTTGGATTGGTCTGATGTTAGAGGCCCCACTGGAGCGGTTATCTGTACGTTGCGTCGGTTGGAGTGGACCCCAGTAAGTGCTACACTTTGGAGAATGCCCTCTGAGATGCCCATCGTGCTGACGCAACTAAGGACCAGCAGCCTTCGGACTCTCATCGAGATCGGTACTAAGGATCAGCTCGCCCAGAGGCGCGCGCCGCAGGTCGCTCGCTCTGCTCCTTGAGCAGGGACCGACCGTCCCAGCATTCCTAGGCCTATCCACCGACGACATCACGCCCAGCAGTGCCACTAAATCTACAACCACTCTCAAGCCGTGAGCGATGGCCGTGCGCAAGCGCTCCTTGGCGCGGCGCCCCAAGTGGTCGCCTTGCTGGAGGGCCCTATGCTGGCCGCGCGGCCTGGCGGGCTCCGCGCCCAAATGCGACGGTTGCCGTCGGGCTTCTTCGCCTGAGGCAGAGGCCGCCATCGCCCTGTTGCAGGGCTGGCCGACGGGCGGCGGCGGCGCCAAGCCCCGGGAGGAGGAGGAGGAGGAGTTCGGCGACCAGAGCTTCGTGAAGCCCCAGCTGGACGCCGTGGCCCAGGTTTGCGAGTTCCGAGGTCGTGGACAGAATCTAGAAGCTTCGTTGTTATCAACCCATGTGTCAGAAAGAATGGCTACCCAGGATGAGGCCGCTGCCCTCCGCGCCCATTTCCGCACACCTCTCACTCGGCCCGTAGCCCCGTATGGGGCCCCACCGAAGGCCCCAATGCCACCCGTCGCATGCGTCTCCCCGCTCGCTGCGGCACGCAGCTCCGCCCAAGGCCCCAACGCAGCCGCTCGCATGCGTCTCCCCCGCCAAATGCGGCACCACCCCAACTCGACTAATGACCCCAAAGGAAGCTCCACCCAAGGCCCAAGTGCCACCCAATGTCACCGTTCGCATGCGCCATCCCACCCCTTACGGCACACGCCTCACACGGTTCATGGCCATAGGGCGCCCCACCTAAGGCCGCAATGTCAACGTTCGCGCTCATCTCCACCGCCCATAACAGCACCCCCCTCACACGGCTCGTGGCCCTGTAGGGAGAGCTCCGCCCAAGGCCCCCACGCGACCAATCGCACGCGCCCCCCCCCTCTACGGCACAGCCCTCACACTGTCCGCGGCCCCATAAAAGGGGGCTCCACCCGAGGCCCCGATGCCACCGCTCGCACGCGCTTCCGCCGCCCGGTTCGGCACACACAGCGCGGCGGCAATGATCCGTATTGGCCGGCCGGGTTAACGTCACCACCTGCGCGGGGAGGAGGGGGAGGAGAAAAACCAGAGCACCTGGACAGACGAGCGCGTTCTTCCACTACTCGCAGAGTAGCCACTCGCAAATGGCGGGGGATCGGCGATAAATGACATCGAGGGTAATGTGTGTTGTTTCGGGCGCTTGCGAGTAGGCACTTTGCGAGTCGCGGAACGCGCCCGGTGGCCGGAGCAGCGCTCGGGCCAAGCCGCGAGAGGCGAGCCGCTGCGCGCAGCAGGGGGGGCCTGGTACCCTGGCAGAACTAGGGGGAAAACAAACCTACCTCGCTTTTGACCACCCTCGCTTCCAAGAGATACGAAAAGACGCCAAACTACGGCCTGTACTGGTCAGGCCGCTTGACGAGGAGGCGCGTGGTATGACTTGGTTTTGTCTGGAAGCGAAAGCGGGGTAGGTAATTCACGCTCTGAAGAACTGCGCACGGCGGGGGCATCTCGGGAAGCATCGGATAAGGAGCCCAGGGGCTGAGAGCCAGTGGAACTCCACTCGCGGACTGGCGGCGGATATTGCCGCCGCGCTCATGGAGATAAGGAGCCCTCTCCAGGGTCTGAAGCCTCCCGTGCACGTTCCTCAACCACTGCCCCCCACTGCAGTTGTCCAACTATCTGAGCCCGAGCTCCGTGACTGACCACGTGAACTTGCAATCTCGGGGGGGGAAAAATGAGAACAGCCAGGAGGAGGAGGAGGAGGAGGAGGAGGAGGAGGAGGAGGAGGCGAGAAAAGGAGAGTAAGCGAACTACACCAGGCCCCAAATCGAGGATAGGCCGGCACATTCCAATCCGACATGCTGTCTGCTGCTGGCGCTGGCCGGGGAGGACAACTCCTGCCCCCCCTGCAGCAATACAGGCGCTACCTACGGGGGAGGGGGGAAGAGGAAGAGGAGGAGGAGGAGGAGGAGGAGGAGGCCAGCGATGGGAGGCGAGGCGGGGAAGGGGGAAAGGCAGGCAAATACGAAATGCCCCAAACTCGTATCATCTGGACGAATGCTTTGCACCACGGACAGAATCGGGATTGAATTTACACAGCCTCGACTCCAAGGAGGCGGAGGAGGAGAAAATTCGAGGAAGGAGGAGGAGGAGGAGGAGGAGGAGGAGGAGGAGGAGGAGGAGGAGGAGGGAGGATGGGCTGGCATTCCCAGGGCAGCGTGAAGCCCACAACCATAAAAAGGGCGCCCTGCGAGCGCAGCCGAGGCTCCGGCTTGGGACGCCCGTGGAAGGGGAAGGGCGGAGAGGGGAGAAGGGGAAAGGAAGAGAGGGCAGTGGCCCTGGAC